CATGATGCTCAAGAAGCTCAAGATGCTCACGATGGTCACGATGCTCAAGAAAACTATGGTGAGTTAGAAGAGATTTTTTTTTTGTTCTTAAATTGGTTAGTGCATGTGCATTTTTTTTTTATTTATGCATACTAATTTGATATTTGATCATGTCATAATTATGATCATTTTTCAGATGTGGGTGATGTACTTAATCAACCCGTTACACCAGGACGCCATTAATTGAACCACCAACACCTAGCATGATACCTATGACACCGGGAGCAGAATTGCTAGGTAATTTATATGAATAATCTGTATCGTATGTTATGTTCTTGTATGTATTTTTAATAATGTATTTGTTCAAAGTTAAGTATTTAGCTGCCTAGTATTTTTATAAAACAGAATAATCAATCATAAAGAATTCGTTTCAGGTGATTTAACACATGGTCTTCCTATGACGCCATGCATTCAGCCAACTGGAATGAGTCCGACAGCAATGACACCTGATGTGATGAGGAGTACTCCAATGACCCCCAGCCACCAACAACCGAGTATATCACCGACGCATATGGATGCAACAAGGCTAACATCGGCTCCATAGAGAACAAAGTAGTATGACTTCTATTAATGCAGACCTTTCTAATACAATGGTTGCTGGGTTGCCTCAAATACCGGGTGATCAGGTAATTGTCACCTTCTAGTTTCACTAAAATAAATCACATGATTGCTTGCATATTTATCTTCTATTATTTTTTGCAGGTTTCTTCAATTTTAGATGGTCCTAGAGACCATTCAGAATTTTTTGGAGAAGCACATTCAGATGCTCTGCAAGTTCCTTCATTTGGATTTAATGAGGTAATATTCATTCTACAGCATTCCAAACATTTTTTTTCATTGAAATTGTGAATAGCATATTTATTACACATTGCAAATTTGGAGGCATACCAAGTTGCAAATGTAATCTTTCTTAAAATCCTTGATTGTATTTCCTGCATCTTAACAATATTGGACTTACTTGTGCTGTAACTCAATTTCATTAGTCCACACAATTTCTCCCACAGTTATTTTCTAATGAAAGTTTTTAGTTTTCTTCTGTACATACCGAACTAAATAATTTACTGGCACCTAATAATGATTTTAATTATTTAGAACCAATCCATGCAAATGGCTAACATGGGTTATGATGAATTAGCGGGTGGTAATCAGACACCCCGACCGCCAATGTCTGAGAGAGTGGCGACACCTTGGCATGAAGATTTTGATTTCCCACCTTCTGTAGGACTGGTAATTGTTTCAACTTGTAATTATTTTGTTGTTATAAAGAATTTACTAATGGGTCTTTGCTTTGTAGACTGGAGAGGAACAAATGGTGGATGAAACAGATGAACAATTCGAAGAAAGAGTTCTTAATAAAAGGGCTGCACAGTTGTTTATGTCAGTTAAGACGAAGTTTTACAAGCAGGATCACTTATTTATATCAGACATGGCAAGGAATAATAATCGTAAACAGGTAATTATTATTATATTTTTACTATATATATATACTAAAAAATTATAATGTACAATCAATATTTTATGTTTAAATCACTTAGTATTTTATAATTATTTTCTATCACAGGCAGCACAGAAGTTTTACAGTCTGTTAGTTTTGAAAAAGTTTCAAGTGTTGGATATATCTCAAGAAGTTCCTTGTGGTGATATACGAGTTGTTAAGGGAGTTAAGTTTGATAATCCTACACTATAAGCTTGCAGACAGGTAATAATTTGTTAATTCCATGATCTTAAAGAACATACAGTTTTATCATAAAAGAAATGTACGTATTACGTTTGAATCTAGATATCTTAAAAATGATTACAGTTAAAATTGGTGATATTTTAATTTGATTTATTATGAGAAGTTTATAAATGTAAATAAGAAATGTTGTAATGCGTACTTTTCAGTTTGACCGATTACATAAGGTAATATAAAATTTGAATGAAACCAAAAGAGCCGCAGTACATTTGTGAAATGAATTTAATAAGAAATTTTATTATAGATATAATTTGTAAGTGTATAATTCTATTTATTAAGATAGAGGTATGCATCAGTTATATGAAGCTGCTGCTGCTGAAGTTACATAAACTGAACCAAGTTAGTTTTCTATAAGGTAGAATGAGATTTTAAAGATTCGAAATATTTTATATAACAATTATTTATGTATTTCATCTATTGAAGAATTTGATCTTCGTAATTAATAATTTAGGCTGTTTGTCACAACGTGATGTTTCCTAATAAGTTGTTGACAAATGATGAATTTTTTGATGATCATCAACTATAAGTATTGATCATATTAAAATAAATATGTTAAATTTTTAATATTTATTTGCACTATTTTATATGTATCTTCATCTATTTATCTAAGCAAATTTATATGTATATATATATGTATATATCATGTATGTATTTATGTATATATACATATGTATATTCCACAAAAACTATGTATGTACATATGGATTGAAGGTAAAGGATGCTTTTGATATATTTTTTTTATTCTCATCACGAGGTATACAAATGTATGTTATTATACATAAAAAAGGTAGTCTTTTTTAATAATTCAGAGGTTAATTAGTTAATTGGTATTAAAACAAATATGATGTGCACTTTACCTGCAATCCACCAGTCTGTTTTGTATTCTACGCTGTGTGAATGAATATGTATGCAAGCATGTATATTTACATATGTACAGATGTCCAGGAACTCAACATCAAGTTAAAATATTGTGATACTATTGATTATAACTATCATGAAGAAAAAAGATCTCATGCAGTTTGAAAGTTATGATTTTTTAAGGATCAACAGATGTTTTGGTTAAACCGTAGTTAAACATTTTTTTGGTTATTGTGGTTAATTTTTATTAACCATGAATAACATTTCTAGATTGCAGTCAAAAATAATATCACAAGTTTGACAGAATTAAGATGATTTGTTAAACTATGAATGTAACATTTCAACATTGGTAGACTTTAAAGGCCTTTAAAATAAAATAACGCATAATAAAATAAAGCATGCTGATCAAAGGTTTCACTTAAAAGCTTAATAACTTTCAAAATGCATGAAATAATGTTTTTCTAATTTTTTCATGATAGTTCAATCAATAGTGTCACTCTGTTACAGCTGGATGTTGAGTCTTTTGAATATCTGTATATACATGTATTTGTGTATATATATATATATATGTAGATATGATATACACCTATCCCTCGTTTTACATGGAAGATATGTTCCAGAAAAAAACGTGCAACTTGAAAATTTCACTTTTATATGGAAAAAATGTGCTAAACGAAGATCACTATAAAAGGTCCTTTTAGTCAGTTTTTAATATAATGAATAACAAATACATTAAACAACAAATAAATATTAATATATTTAATATCGAACATATTGAATGAGTTATAGGAAAATAAAAAAAAAGTGTAAAACTTGGGATAGGTATATATGAATATGTATATATGAATATATATTATATGTTTATATGTATATTAGCATATGTATGCAAATTTGTGATAAACATCTCTGTATGCATATGTAAATTTTTATGACAACATTGCATGACAGATATGGGAATAGTAAGCTTATACATATAAATGGTAAAAAAGATTTGATATATTTAGAATTGATACTACCAATAGCCAAGATGAATCATAGTTGGTCATCTGAAATGCTGTCGTTGTAGACACTTTGTCATTTGTTATTGCTGATATATTGTATATGTTATATACATCTTCTATTATCTGTGCCCAGAATTCTAATTAATTTCGCTATGTATCTTATGCACTCAAATGCAAAAATGTTTTTGTCACATATCATTAATTATTTTTATTTACTTCATTTTTTATTTAAGCCATTATTATGATTGAAGTAAAATATAAATTCAAGTTAAGAAAACTTTTATCACTGTGAATATCTTATTGGTACTTGTATTATAGTATTCTTACATGTACCACTATGATATTCACAGCTAGGGGGCTGTAAAAATGGAAACCACTATTTACAAGCTATATAACATTGATATATTTTTTTTAACTTATATGATTAAATTAAACATATCAAAATTATATCTGCAATATTATTGTGAGCGTAAATCACTGATAAATTTTTGTTTTTGGTTCAGATGTATTCCTCAGTCATGGCTAGTAAGCTGTGTGAAATTAGAATATAAATTTGTTCCTTTTATAATTAATTTCTTGTCAATGCATATTTGATCATGATAATGGTTATTACAAACTAGCTCTTATGATATTCTTACCAGAATACAGTTTTTCATAATGGTCATATTTTTTTGCATGTAAATATGATGAGTTGTTTCAACAATATCAGAAGAGGCCCTTGGAAAAATGATTTTATTCTAATAATTAAAATCATATTACTTGTGTTTGTTATTACTGTATGACTTTCAAATATTAGCGCTCAAGCTATAATAACAAGTTTGTTTTCTTTTTAGTGAAGTCAATTTAAAATTTTAATTAATTCATAGTTATTTTTTTATTGACTGCACACATTTTAACATTACGTTACACCAAATCTTAATTGGTGTTAATTGATATAGCAAGTAAAAATTATTTTGCATGTCAAATATTTATTAAAAATACTAGTCAGAACTAAAACAAGAAGTTTGTAAAATGCCTGACCGAGTTATTTTGCTTGAGCGCTATTTAGGTTGGGAGATTTATTTTAAAAAGTATTGAAGTTAAGAAATGCTTTTTTTTCTTTAAAATATAGGCAAGTTTGTCAATTTTAATTGACATTTTAGTTTACATTGAATTCTTAGTTTTTAAGTTAATATATTAATTAATAAACAGAGTTTTGTACGAAACATTATATGGAATATATGAAATATCGAGTTATTAATAGTTAATTTCCCAAGTCTTTGTACCCTGATGTCGCAGAGCTTTGTTTTTGAAATACCAATGTAAAATTTTTTTTAGTAGAGATATATTACAGTCTTATAAAATAAATATGAAATAAATTATTTGACGATTATTATTATAGCTATTCATTTTATTTACAGCACTATAATTTAACCCGGGAGAAATTTAGAATAATTTTGAATATGAAAAATTGCCTTCATATATACTTTCATTTCAGGAAATGTTTATCTGTTAATTTTTAAATAATTTGTATTGAATTTATATTTATATTTTGTTAATATAAAATAAACTGATTATGAGATTAATGATAAGATATATTAGTATCTGAAGTGTAATTGAGCTAATTGTATTTGTTTTACTGGTTTTCTTTGCTAACTACACAATAAAAGATGCTGGTTGATATACAAGGAAAGACGAAGTCTGTAATAAAAAATAACATAGTCCTTATATTATTTTCTAGAAAACATTTATTATTTTAAATAATAACATTACAATAATTATACAAGATTAAAGCCTAAAGTCTAATTGTCTTAAGTTTATACATATTTATATTGTTATTGTCATAAATGATTCATTTTGATGTACGAGTATTTGATTGTGATTATGTAATACTGGTAGAATTTGTATCTAAATGGTCGATTTAATTAAAAATACTGGCTTATATAACATTAACAAATTGGTATAGCGTATGGTACATCTACTGTTTTTTGTTTGTTTTTCGGAATTCTTCGATATTTTCGTAATCGCTCTGATCGGCGGGATGCTCTGAGTTATCGTAATAGGCGTAGTCGTAGCTTGCGTTGTCTTTTTGTGGCTTTGGTGTGTTACTGTTCGGCTCGGATTGTTTTTGCACGGGAGCAACTGCTGGTTGGGCGATTGCCTCTTTCCTTGTGGTTGCCTTAGGACTTACTGAGGTTTTGGCGGTGTAAGCATACGTTGTTTTTTGCGTGGTGTGAATTGAAACAGGCGTACTTGTTTCAACTGATTTTGTTGTCGTTTTGCTTTTTCTTTTCAATTCATTCCCACTGGCGGCGATGTTCTGAGAATGGGCTGTTTTTAGAAACTCACCTTGATCATTTTGCCTGATGTATTCTTCGCTCGAAGATTCGTAGTTATTCCTGGTATTGTATACAGGTGTTGTTTGGTAGAAGTCGTCTTGGGAGAACTGATTTGTAGCTCTGCTTGGCACCTTATTGTAATTATTGCTGTTGTCGTAGTATTGCCTGTTATCTGTTACCTCTTTTCGGTTTTGGTAGTAGTTGTCTTTAGCATCTTCGTACTGCTCCGGTCGGTACTGACCATCGTCGTATTGGCTTTCTTTTGCTGCTGGCGAGTATTTATATTGGTTTGCCGTCGTTTGTGCTTGATTAGGTCTGCTGGTGAATCCTTGAGGAAGCGCAGATGTTGAGAATTGATTGTTATAATATTGGTTCGGACTCGAATTGTATTGATTCGTGCTCACGGAGCTTTTAAATCCCGAAGGGCTTTGATTTGTGTTGAATTGATTTGGATTATTATTAAATTGTTTGTTGCTGACGTAGTATTGATTATCTGTTGATTGTTGTTTATTTGTTGAGTACGCATATTCCGTAGTCTTATAATTTTTGACTGTAGTGGGTTTAGCTGTTGTTGGGAGGTAGCTGGATGCAGCAAAACCGTTTGTGTACTGTGGTTTTAGAGTAGTAGAGCTGGCGGGGGTCTTTTTCGGTACGGCGCCAGTTAAGTCGCTTGGTTTATAAGTGCTTGGGGCTGTAAATGGTTTAGGTGTGCTTTGCGAACTGTATATTTGCGAGACCTTGTTATAAGTGGTCGGTTTGAAAGTCGTCGGGCTGTATACATCTTTTGGTACCAACGTGGAGAATTTCTTTGTTGTGGCCGGAGTATAATTGTCTGCGTTTGTTTTGCGGCTTAGAGTTTGGTATTTATCGAAATACGGTAATGGTGTTGATGAGGTATAAACTTGGCTCGAGTATCCCGTACTCGGACTCGATGTGGAAATTTCTTCCGGTTTACGCAATATTTTGCGTTGTATGGTCTTTTTCTTTACCAGTTGATTTTCATTCTCAATAACATGTGCACTTTGTTCTTCTGGCTGGTTTTGCGCGGGCCTAGTGCGTACTCTAACGTTTGACCGTTGGAATGGTTTTGGATCGCTTTCAACTTTGGGTGTCTCACGGTAATCTTCTTCAACTTCTTTGCCATTATTGCGATTGTTGAAGAAGTTGGAACTGTGAGATCCACGGAAGATGTCTTGTGAATTGTCCTGAATATAACGCGGTTTCTGCGTCGTCTGTTGCGGCGGCGAGGTGACGGCAACTGTGCTGTATTGATTCTGATATTGGTTGCGCGCAATATTAGGGTTGTACTGGTTGAATAATTTTGCCTTGGCGCTGTTTGCGTCTCCTCGTTTTTGATCCACTTTTGGTTGTTTGCTAAGTCGGTGATCGCCAGTTTCAGCCCGTTGAAGATGGAATGGCGCTTCTTCTTCGTAGGCGAATGGTGCTCTCTTGCTTTCTACATCCGATGAAATTCGGTACAGATCAAAATTGTCGCTGCTGTAGTACAGTGTTGTCGCTTCGCAGTCGACATCACCCCAGTCAGCACAAATTTGAGCGTCCTGATCAAAAGCGGTTCCATTGGGACATAAAAATCGGAAATCTTGAACCTGAATAATAAAGTATATTTATAAAGATTGTCTGCTATTGAAAATTTGGAAATAGAAAAAACTAGATACCCCAACGCCGGCGACTTTGACGCACACGTGAAACATTTGACATTGCGTTTCACTATCGGCATAGTAACCACCTAATATTTTATCTCGGCAGGTGAATCCCGTATCAGGCATATTTTCCAAACTGTAAGTGGGGTAAGGCCGATTGTTGAGGAACTGTGTCATCACACATCCGCCAAAGAAAAACACACCTGAAAGGAAAATGAACTATATGAAAATAATATATGTGGAAGAGGTAATTCGAAAAAATGAAAAATTAATTAGTTAACGAATATACTCATAGACATTTTTTAATTTGACCATGATGTTTAATGTTAGACATGTTAACTTTTACAAATGTTATTTTTATTCTTGTTATATGTTTTTTATATTTATTCAGGATTATCTGTAAATGTATTAATGATGTTTTGATTATTTCAGGATCTGCAATGTTTTTTGGATTTAGGCTGTAAAGAAAAGGTGCTAAAAAAATCCACACATTTAGGTAAGTATTCAATTTATTTAGGATCTATATTATGTAGAGATTTTAACACTTTCGACTCGGGAGTCGGACTGCCAGTCGGTACGCTGCGCTCGGAATATTATAGTGCTATACTTATCTATCAACTCGGAATTTTTTTTGTATCGGATTTTTTCAAAATGTGGTTATATTGCTTTTAAATATAGTTTTTATGATAATAAAACAGAAAATTTTGAAAATTAAAAATAATTGCACTCTATATTGTTTAAAAAATCATTTCTTTACAGATCTTTATTAGAATTATGGGGATCATGAGCTAATAAAATAATTTTGTTATATATTTATTTATAAAATTAATAAATCAATCAACAAATGAATGTAATAGTAAATTAATTTTTGAAAAATAAAAAAAAAAATAAATGTAAATTTAGTTTGCGACGAGTCGTCGCCGACACGATTTGCCGCCGGAGCGGCGGCATCCGAGCTTAACGGTAAAACATATCATGCCGCTGGACGGTAAAATGACTTGCAAAAGGCGGCATCCGAGTCGAAAGGGTTAATAATATGCATATAATTTTATCGCACTCAAGTTTGTAAGTTTCAGGCTCCATACTGATATATGAGGCTCTGAAATATCAGACTCTATTCATTTCGAAGACGTAAGATTTACTTGCAACAGAACATCTCACTATTTTTATTTGTTTTTTTTTTTAATTCATTCTCATATTCATATTTTGAATATTTTGATTATTTATTTATATGTACAAGATTTTGCAGATGAATATCTGAGAAAAGAAATTTATAATAACTTTTCTAATAATATTTATGTTTCTGCAAATTGATGTCGTCAATGTAGGTTTTAAGCATAACACTTGGGCGTTTAAATGATGTTTGACCCATAAACTATATACGCGGACATAACGACGTCATTACATATTATAAGATGATCATTATTGGTTTCTCGTATAGTGTTAGAAATTCTCGTAATTATATAACTAAAAGAGAAATTGCTATTGGTGATATATGACAATGGCCATATTTAGAATCTGTTTACATGATATTATGTAAATGTAAATAATAAATAACTAAATTTAAAGCGCTCAACATCTTTATTGCTTTTGTTAGGTTTTTTATTGGCCTCGTTATAGTTTTTATTTACATACAATATTCTTAACTTCGCGAAGTAAAAGTTTGTGATTTCGCTTGAAAAATCGATTTGCTAATTCTGAATCGTTTGATACCAAAAACGGCTGCACCGATTTCGAAAATTTAAAGGCCATTCGACAAGGACTCACTTTAGTTAGTTTCTAGAACTTCAAAAACTGTCAGAAAAAAGATATCAGTTGGAAATCGTGCTGATTAATTTTCGATAAATATAAACCATTGACAATTTTAATTTTAACACGTTAATCACCATGATAAAAGAAATATTTTCACATGGTAACATTATTAGATAATTTTGTTAGAAGGAATCTTAATGTATCAAATAATTTATATTAAAAAATGTGATTATTAGAAGGCAACCTTTTCGTTCTATTACTCTATCAACTTCTATGAACAAAAAATAAAAAACATCGAATATTATATTTATGTTGTTATACTATTATATAAATTGTACATGTTATGTATTGTTATATAATAATATACATAGGGTTAATTATATTCGGCAAAAGTGGACTAACCAATAAATATCCTTTTACCTTTGCTGATGTTTTAGCGCAAAACTATGAAAAATATCCAAAAGCCCAGTGATTTTTGTCTATTGGATAAATTTTTCATAGTGCAAATTAAGGTACAATTTCATATACATAAAACTTATCCTAAAGTTAACACTAGATTTACGGATGTTGATTATATACCTATTTTTACTGAAGTGAGCCAATTTGGATCATACAATAAAATGGAAAAAACAGGTTCAACGCAATTAAAATGAAATGTTTATTGTAACAAAAATATAATAAACATTTTTTACCATTTGATCAAGTATAAGGTTGTCAAATAACTCCCTTCCGCCTTTTTGTATTATAAACCAAGAGCAAAAAAGCGGAAGGGAGATATTTGACAACCTAATACATCGACGCCATGCTTATATGTACGAATGTATATAGTTTTATATGCATATAGTCATCAATTTTTTATTCAGTCAAATTGGTTTAGTTAAAAAACCAAAACAAAAAATGCGGTTGCCTTCATAGACATTTATAAATTTTTTTTATAATTTTTTTTATTAATACCTGCACCTATACGGACCATCAAGGGACGTCCGTATATGGACATTTAAAATTCAATTATTTTTTTTATTAATTTAATTAATTTTTTTTTCTAATTGTAAATAAGACCATGAGCTCTCCGTCTATATCGCAAAGGAATAGAAATTGCAGAATTGATGTTCTTTAGTGTAACCTTTGACCTGGCTTCATCCTTTGTGTAGGAGTAACCTTTATGGAAGTTATATGACCAGTCGATAGGTTAGATCGCTCGCCCAATACCGATTTCTCATGGCATTTTAAATATATGTTATTATTTGACACAATTTGACTCCGATAGCGCTGTTTACATTTGAAATAAACATGTAAATAAATAAATACACCCTCTGTAGGTAGTCGGTTGGAAATTGCATGAATTATTTGTCAGACGTCGGGCAGTGTTTATCAGTCGTTCTATACATAATCATTGTTGGAAATAAAATTATACGGGGATAATGACTTTAAGTGAGATTTAATTTGATCAGTTAAAATTGTGCAAAGTGTTGATTGTGAGGTGAAAATTAAATTTCTGTACGTAGCAGAGTTGTAGTGTGTTTGTTGATTGGATCAGTTAAAATTTGGCTGAGATGTAATATCAGGGCACATCGGAGACCAATGTAAGTGTTTTTTTTATCACATGATTTACAACTGTACTTAGTAATAGAAACAAAATTTAATTGCCACCCAATTTTGTGGCCAATTTCTTACTAACCGAAAACTACTACAGAATGTTGACCACTAGATTTTAAGTCGATGAGTTGTTCTTCGTGGGAACTAAATTAACATCTTAATTTTATTAACTAAAAGAATACATTTATTTTTATATTATGATTATTAAAATTCATAATTATTTAATTAAATTATAATTAAAAAAGTGAATAATGGTAATAAAACAGCAACGGGTATAGTAAACAAAGGCGGGAAAGGTAATCATTGGTTTGTTGTTCTCTCACACCATGGACCTACTATTTATTGTTATTATTATTAACTTCCCATAGGGAAAGTTATAGTGATGGACCGAAAATCAAAAAGGCCGATTTTTTTTTTGCATATTTTCACGTTTCAGAGGTTTCTGAACATTTTGGCATACCTCAGAAAAAATGGATGTGTGTGTGTGTTTTTTGTGGCCGCATTTTTTCGTCCACGTTTTCGGGCGCACGGATCAACCAATTTGAATGGTTAAAAAAAATCGATTCCTATTGATAGGGAGATGTGCTGATTAGTTTTTGGCAAAGGCAGGTTCAGCCGTTACGGAGATACGGAGCAAAGAGTGCAGAGAATAGAAAACGAATTTTTGAGAGAACGTAGTATCCGATTTGACTGATCCAAAAAACATTCAATTTGTAATGACTGGGAGAAGTGATGATTAGTTTTTGGCAAATGCAGGTCCAGCCATGTCGAAGATACAGAGCTAAATGTACAAAAAATTGCAGTTTTTGAGAGTACTAAGCATGCGACTTGAATGATTCAAAAAACTTTTTGCTTGTGTTGACAAAACAATTGCTTTTGTAAAAAAAATTATTTTTTTTTCAAAAAAAATTTTTTTGTCTATCGAAAATAATTCAGATTTCAATTTGAATTTTGCAAATCAGATTTCATCAATATTTTTTTTAAAATTCTAGTTCAAAACTTTTTATATTTTTTCGCTTTCAACCTTTGTATAAAATTCATTACAATTTTCTTTATAAAAACATTTATATTTTCAAAAAAAATATTTACTATAAAAATATGATTCTCAAGTAAATTCGATAAGGACTTCACCAGGCCTAACCGTTTTTGACGATTCGAATGAGACTTTGAATAGTGATCATACTAAAATATATAAGTGTTTTATTTATGAAAATAATTATTAATAATTAATTAAAATTGAATATATTATTAATATTAATATTAATTTTTGTGATAATATATTATTTGAAAGTTCCATTTGATGAGCTCCATTATATTATTACCCAATTACCCTATTTGAATTGATGCTGCAAAAGTGAATAGTGCACGCGCTTCTATGATTTATAATTTATAATTTAATGACTAGAAATATTAACGCTAATTAATATAAAGCTATTCAAGATGATTGCCCAAGTCCATATAAATTCTATAATTATTTCTCCAGTTATCATTGAACTGGATGAACTTACATAATCTTTCGATTGTTTCGATGTGAACTCTCAAATATTAGCATGGGAATCCGTATATCAGTTCATAAGCAATATCGTACATTTTAATTCTGTCAAAATAGTGAATGAATGAGAATAACAAACATATTTTCGAAAGTCATGCGATATTAATACAAGGCCGTTCCCACATTTGTTAGGGAAAAAAAACTATTGGGTTCTTATACGATGGTAATAGATATTTTTCTAAGCGCACGAGATACAGATCGAGAAATATTTAGTTTTAATAATTATTTTTATAAATAAACCACGTTTATATAGTTTAGTATGATCACTACTCAAAGTTTCATTCAAATCGTCAAAAAAACAAAAATTAGACCTAGTGGAATCCTCATCGAGTTTCATTTCATGGCTTTTAAATCTTTGGAATTGGTGCAGATTTAATTCTGACTAAAGTTCTAATATAA